AACAACAACAACAACAACAAAGCACCGCGTCGCGTGGGCACCTGACTGCGAGGACCCCTGCACCTAGAACCTCATTGTGCGACTTTGTAAGTGTACACAGTAGGCAGAATCCCCGGGTTAGGGTTATTATGACGGCTGAGGGGCCCGTGCGCGCTTCCAAGGGCGTGCCTCGCCCTGGTCCCGTCTACCATAGCTCCAATTCGCATGCGTCTCGTCTTCCGTCCCGACTTTGTAACAGACAAGCCACCGACTAACAACCACCGATACCCGGAAGCCTCATTTACCTATCCATTTGTTTCTCCATATACTCCCAAGTCGGGCAAATCTCACAAACTCTCTCCAATTTCGCGACATCCATCACTCATCACACCTTGCTGGACAGCCATTCCCATGTTGATCATCGACGACACCACACCTTGCTGGACAGGTCCTGCTACTTATTTTCTGTTCTAGCCATGTAAGGTGTCCTTCTTCCTTCCATCCCCTTGGGCTTCTAGACTAACTCCCTACCTTTTCCTGGTACAGGCATTGATGATTTTCTGAACCTTCCTGTCATTCTCGCTAAAGACTTTGCCGAGCTTTGCAACGGCAGAGTCAGGCATGGCCTTGCGTGCTTTGCCAGCATCCGCCAAGCTCTTCTCGGACCTTGTACCTCCTACGAATCCCATCAACATGCCCATGATGGCAAAGGGCGCCGACCCCGGGTCCTCGACAATGTCATAGGCAGTCATTCCCACGCTGCCCGCAACGTCGATAAGGGTAATGATGCGTGCGATCATGGCCATTCCACCAAACAGGGCTCCGCCAATCTCGCCAATGATGGAGATCACCATCAACACGATGCTCAGGATGAACGTGATGAGATTCTTCTTGTTTTGCTTGATGATATCGGAACCCGTCTTCTTGATGCCGTTCATGGCGTCGACGGCTTGTTGTAGCATGAAAACGGGCATGCTGGCCGCCGTGACAATGTCTGCGCTATCGACTTCGTTGGTGTGGGTAGCCACCAGAAAGTGCCCGGTTAGCAGGCTGTAAACCAGATTTGTCATGTTGGCCATGGCCGCCTCCATCACCACTTTGGGGTTGGGGACCTCGATCTGTTGGTAGGTAAAGGTAGGTACCCAATGTCAGCGCTTGTCTCTTCGACGTGCAAGTTTGGTTTCAACACTTACTTTGTCCTTGTCGATAGCTATAGGAAAGTTACTCATGCTCGTGACCTTCGGTTTGCAGAGCTTTGGTCTATTGCCCGTGCGGATATGAGCTCCATCGTCACCATACATGTCGTCGTCGCACTGTTTCTCAAGTTTCCACTCGCCGAAAGTGATCCATTCCTTCGCTATTCCCAGTTTCTCGTCGACCTCGGCATAAAACCCCTTTGCATCACGCAAGGTATAGTCGATGTGCCAGTTATCAACCGGGAGCCTCTCCAAGACGATGTACTGACAACCCTGTTTGTCCGAGTACTTCTTTCCGTTTATCGACACCACACAGTCAAAGTACTTGAGTCCGGGCGACTTCATACTTCCTGGATGGGCGAACTTCTCCAGCTGCGGGCCGACGCTCTCCCTGATATATTTTTGATAAGTGGAAAACAGCTTATCATATCCCTTGAGGCTCTCTCGATACTCGCTTCCGATGCCCAAAAGCGTCTGGAGCAGGATCCCCAGCGCCCATTGATTCCAGCATATGGAAGGAATCGACCCGGTGTCAACCGCGTTAACAAGATCGTCCAACGTCTGCGGCGCCTTGTCGGGATCGCAGCTTAGCGCCTCGATGGGCGTGAAATCCATGTACTCTCCCTCAATCGGGTCATAGTCTGGGCCCCAGCCCTCGTCGTCGTCGTACACGCCATCATCGAAGCAAATGTCAGTTGGGCAGTAACCACGCTGGCAGGCGAAGCCACAGAGGCCATAGTCGAGCAGGCCAGGCAGAGACTTCATGCTGGCCCTGGATGGTATGGTGGGGTCAAGGATGTTGGCAAATCCCTTCTCGATTTCACAGACGCACACCCAGAACGGGCAGTACCCATGGCTGCAGCTGAATTTACAAAGCTGCTCAAAGCGTTCTTCTCCTCCCCGCGCCCTGCCGGAATCACAATATTGGGGTTCGAAAAGAGAGGCCGGCCGCACTGCAAGTGCCACCTTCTTGGTGGAGCAGTAGTCGGAAAAGTCGGAGCAGTTGCCGTAGTTGCACGCAAAGGAACAAAGCCCCGACACACTTTCGTCCATGTTGCTCGTGGGATAGCCCTGGACGCCCGTCGGCTTTGGCAGAGTAGGGGGCTTGCCCAGTCGAGAGCAGACACAGGCGGTCTTGGGACAGTATCCCAACGAGCACGTGAACTCGCAGAGGTCTTTGACGAGTTCCATGCCCGTCGTGTAGCGACAGAAAAGGCTTCAG